GTAACCCTAACTAGTAGGTGAGCTCACGGGGCTCAAACCTGACGACGTTGCTAACACGAACCCTAGCAAGAGCCGTGCTTTACAGAATTTACCACAGGATCGGAAACGCGACTCACTGAGAAGATCCGGCGAGAAAATCAGTGGGTTGTGTCTGAGGGAACAATTCATAAATAAAGTAGGTAGGTAATACATAAAAATAAAACATTAATTTGAGGAACGAAATAAAGCAATACCAACATTATTAATGCATACCGGAAAATCTCATGTCGAATTAACATCATACGTACTCGAACAAGTGTGGCATATTCAAAGGCATTGCGTCAACAGTGCCATACGCGGCCGCTGCCAGATTTGGCGAGGTATGCGCCGGCATGCCAGACCGCCAGCTCGGGTATTTGCTTAGAAAGCCATTAAGAACTGTTACTCCATTTTATCGGTTTTTATGAATTTACGTATACTTTGTTTTATTGACGGTATTAATTATTTCCGAACAGCGTACTCGGATAATTAAAACTGCGTTGTGGCTGGTACGGACGAATGTAGAAATTAAACTGTGTTTTCTTTTCGACTAGCATTCGTAATACACTAAATTTACTATATATTGTATATTAAATGTAACTATACTTGAGACCTTAGAACTTATATCTCAAGGTGGGTGGCGCATTTACGTTGTAGATGTCTATGGGCTCCAGTAACCACTTAACACCAGGTGGGCTGAGCTCGTCCACCCATCTAAGCAAAAAAGAAAAAAAAAATGATTCCTCCTTCTATATACATTACCTTAGTGTATATATATTTATAGCTTCTGAGGTAGATATTATATATTTTAACTATAGGGCGTGCTCTGTAAACCACGATGTAATGGGATCACCGAAATACGATTTTTTTTTGTTATTATAAAAATTGAACTGTGTAGATACATGTCTTAAGTTCTCTCCAATCGCAAACATGTTACGGCCACATTTGTCTCGCGTTTGTTATAATCCCACATGTCAAATACGTTATCAGTTTTCGTGATTGATGTGATGATTTTTATTATTACGTTATTAATAATGATAATAATAAAAACTCGGAGCAAATCACGCACGGTCATCCGGTTCCTAATTAGGGTTCCCTGTGTTTATGGGTACCAGAGATTTACATAAATACTTATATATACGTTTTAAATATAGATGATAAACAGCTAGACGAAGAACAAACAAACCTTTTCATCCCACGAATGTTTGCCCGATGTGGAAATTGAATCCAGGATCTTCGACCCAACACCCAGGGCTTAACTACTGCCCCATTGAGTCAGCCAAATATGATAAGATGATAGATTAAGGATAATTTGGCATAATCGTAAATTAGCTTCTCGATATAAATTGATCATTTTATTCAAAATGTCGTCTTTTACGTTTCTTTGCACGCAGAATGAACAAATACGTCCATAAATTTATAAAACCTGAAATTGAAACTCAAAAGTGGCTTCGATCTAATTCTTATAATATATGGAAGGTCTTTTGTTTAATACTTAAAAATGTAAATATAATAAGCAACGAAGCATTGTGAATTTAATTCTAAAATGCACATATAAACATAAATTGTTTTATGGTAAGATAAAATAAGCGCGCTTCTAAATTCGGCGTAAAATTTTTCGTGAACTCCCTTCCACGGTGTTTCTTGGACGCTATGATATGTCTTTCTTCAGACGGGACTGGCGGAGAGTGGTCTTCGGCAGTTTGTCTCTGGCGTTACCGTGAGCGACCATGACTTCTTTACTTACCATCGTCTGCCGACAAAGGCCATTAAAAAAACAGTCTTTGAATATTATCGGACACAATATGCCTATTTTGCATATTGGGTCAATGAGTGACATTACTAAATGACATAGACCTACAACATGCTGAAGGTTGCAGGGATTCGCTAGGTGCGGACTACGCAGGACTAGGCGTTGTGGAGATCCTTGGGCGGAGGCCGATGTGGACGTCTGTGGGCTGACGACCAGTGACACCATTAAAAATTATTGATTTTAACTTAAAAATTTTCGGTCATTTTTTGACAGGCCTGTTTGGAGCCCTATCCAATAGAAGACCTTTATTTTCCTAACTATTCTAGTAAACTCGCGGGGTCATACTAGATTCACCGGACGAGAAAAGGTCCCAATGATAGGCGACTAGCGCAAGAAGCAGTGCCCACCTAACATTGAATAGCGTTTTTGATTTAGTAGTGATAGCTCGCTGGCCAGTATTGAGAAAATATATAAAGCTCCCGAAATTGAAACAAAATGTTATGAATAAAAAAGCATTTTTAGAATAAACGGAACAAAAGCGTAACAAGTTCGTTGAACTCTGACTAAGCAGCTAGCTAGCACAATAAAACTATCTTAAAATGGAAAACCGATGAGTGCCAGCGGTGGGCGATTGGCGACGTGAAAATACAGATTTTCTGCCAATAACACCATAAAATAACCCAAAAAAAACGAGGTTAAACGGATTTGGTTATAATAGGGTGTCTATTTGATTATGATTTCACTGTTTTTGGTGAGAAACAATAACAGTGTCTACCGTTATTCTTAATAGATGTGTTTCGCATTAAGTATTCGAGATTTTGAATGATTTTCTTCGACTTCTACTGTCCGATACTGCTGGTGCGGCGTAGTAAAAGGTCCGGATACATATCGTTGATCTGCTTTATCGAAATCACAACATAACGGGTTGAATTTAAAAGCGTAGGAGACTGTTATACGAAACAACTGAGATTTGGTTGTTATGTGTTTTAATGTGTAGTAATCACTTAACTCACTAAATCTAATCTATCTAGCTTTTTTTATTTATTTTTTATTGCTTAGATTAGTGGACGAGCGCACAGCTCACCTGGTGTTAAGTGGTTACTGGAGCCCATAGACATCTACAACGTAAATGCCGCCACTCGCCTCGAGGTATGAGTTCTATGGTTTCAGTATAGTTACGGCTGCCTTATCCTTCAAACCGAAACGCATTACTGCTTCACGGCAGAAATGGGCAGGGTGGTTGTATCTACCCGTGCGGACTCACAAGACGTCCTACCACCAGTATATATTAATGTACAGAACTGATATTTGATCTTGAGACAAAATCATGTATAAATTAATCTCATTATCTTCGTTTTCAGAACCAAAATGTGGCACGGGATTTGAGGAATTTGTTTCTGGAAGACATCAACAGTTATTCCGCCACTCACCTTGAGATATGAGTTCTTACGTCTTAGTTTTTAATAGGCAGGGTGATGGTACCTACCCATGCGGACTCACGAGACGTCCTACCACCAGTAATAATCTAACGCACCCCTAAATTCGCCCGCACATCGAAAGCAATAACAAAAAATTGTCCTATTATATACATATTGTGTGACTTCCAAGTTCATGTATCGCTGGCCGCGTCTCAAACGAAACAAATTTCTCCAGATTCCATTCGATAAATAAACCTTATGGTATTTTGCTGTAAGTCTATTTTCGGGTTCTGTTTCAGTTTCATCCTCTTTGACTAGTTTGAAACCGAGATCCTAATGACGGTAACCACTAAAATACCTACTTGCGGTCATAGCTTCTAATGCTTTGGTAGGCAGACAAGCATGCAGCCGACCTGGTACTGAGTGGCCACCGTAGCGCACGGACGTCAGCATTGCCCGTGCGCACACGTCATTACGGATCCTCCCGGTCCATCAACGGTGCTTTTAGGTACCTCAAGCACCGGTCATCGTCCTCGCAGAACCCGTCGCTTGCGACGAAGGACTCGACGAGTGAATTAACCCATAGACACAGCCCACTGAGTTTCTCGCCGGATCTTCTCAGTGGGTCGCGTTTCCGATCCGGTGGTAGATTCTGCGAAGCACTGCTCTTACTAGGGCCAGTGTTAGCAACGCTCTCGGTTTGAGCCCCGTGAGCTCACCGTCAAGGCGAAGCTAAAAAAATGGTCCGTGTCCGCTTCGAGAGCATTCCATACTCAGTCAGAACGTGCTCACGGCCCACGTTGTATTAAATGATTACCGAAACCCATATAGGTACATGAACAAGGTAAATACCGCCATTCATCTTGAGACATGGGATCTAACTCTCAATTATATATAGGTACCTAATGATAGATTTTCCCGTCCTTCTAATCGGAACGCATTATTACTTATCGGCAGGAAAAGGCAGGGTGGTGGTACCTATCAATGCAAACTCACAAGACGTCCTACTACCAATTTCAACAAAATTAGGGATATTTCTCTGAATTTTTTATAAATACCGCAATGTTATCACCTATTGAGCGTAATGCTTAAAAAAAAAAACAAGTGAAAATGTTACGTTTGCTCATTTTAAATTAATAATACGCAAATTAAACTGTATCATAAATGAGAATTTAAATGGGAATACAAAACGACCAAGTAATTAACTGTAACATAGATAAATACAATTTTAAAAGGTACAATGTATATATAGGTAGATGTGGAGTTTCTTTCCAAGAAAATGGAAAATGTTCATCGAGTGGTTCTAGGCGAGTTTATACATATTATAATGTACATATAAATTGAATGATGTTAATATATGCACGGTACTCATTCTGGTATGAGCGAGTCGTTTGAAAAGTGACGTGACAAAGTTTTTAATTATTAGACGTGAAAATCGCCAGGTGTAGGTAGGAGGGATTTCAGTGGCCCCCATTTGACCGTCGCTAGCCGTATTTGGCACGGCTCGAGTCTAAATATGGCTCCGGCACTGCCCACCGCCCGCCGCGCGCCCGTACCGCTCCACTTCCGACTCTATTATTTCTATTTACGAAATAAACTCAAAATAAAAGCTCTATTTTCATACGAATTTCGGGCACTGAAAACCGTTCGCGGGCTCCCGACGAAAGGCGCTTTTCCAACGGATGTGTCGGGTTACGTGAGCTCGCGACAGACCGTCTCGCTCCGGTGCGGGGCAGGACGGGTCGTGCGAGCGAGACGGCTAGCGATCGAGACGCGCGGGACGGAGCCGCGCGAAGTCAGTTGCGGTCCGAGCGGCCGAGCCGTCAGTCCCGCCCTCGGTTCTTTCGCGTGTTCGGTTAGTCTCCGTTCGTCGTTCGAACGGTGAGGTGTGTATAGCGCTTTTGCGCACCGGTTACTGTGGCGTACTGCGAGGTGATCATGGACGCGCCCGGCGGAGCGCGGGAGTCCCGCTTCGGGCCGTCTTACATGGGGTTGTTGGGGGAGATGCCGGACATGTACAGCGCGGGCAGGCCTCCGAGCGCGCTCGGCGGTGCTGGCCCCTTGCGGCCCGGCATGCAACCTTGCCCGATGCCCAGGGCTGGAGTCAAACGTCCATCGGACCAGTGCTACGATGATAGACCATCACAAAGCGTTCCCCTCGACCACTGCCCAATGCCGGACATAGCTGATGATGGTTATGCCTCCCTGCAACCCAAGAAGTCACCCCCTTCTAATGGCAAAAAGACTAAAGGTCGCGTCAAGATCAAAATGGAGTATATAGATAATAAACTGCGACGGTACACAACTTTCTCCAAGCGGAAGACTGGGATTATGAAGAAGGTGGGTCATCGAGACCGCTTTTGGCAATATTCCATATGGGTCGACTAACAGCAGTGCTGCATTTGTGTCTAAGTGCATAAAATCCTCATAAGTTTATAACATCAATAAAGTGAAAATAGGTTAATTAGTGAGAATTAATGCTGTATCAAGAAATAATAATGTGAAAAAAGTTTTTAAAATATTCTTAGTAGAAGAGAATTTATCATTTAGTATTGAATATGTAAATTGATTGAGTATAAGTTTTGTCCTCTTTCAGTTTTATTATATTTACAGCAAAAACGTTAAATGATAAGAGGTACAATGTTAATGCCATAAGATAAATTCTTTCTTTAAAACTCTATATCTGGTACTAAGTGCATATTTGAAGACACAGCACTATATAAAGTACCGAATGATATAAAATTTAGTAATAAACCAACCAACAAATGTATTGATATAATGTAAGTTTGTGAATTTTGGTCCTTTGGAAACTAAATTTTATCATAAATATACATTACAAATTCTAGTATAGGTTATGTTTTGTGTTCCCTCGAACCTCGTGGAATATTGCCGAAAACGACTCTAAATGTGAATTTTCTTTCGTTAGACAACATTTTTAATCATTCATACATGATAAATGTGTGTTTTACGCTTATTTTACGTCTTTTTGTGAGCATTTGTGTTAAAAGTTTTGACAGATGTCAGCTGTTCCGGGCTATGCTGTGTGAGTATTTAACGATATTACGTGTTGAAATTGTAATTACTAAAGCCAAATAATTTATTATTTACGTAAACAATATTTGAAGAACCGTGAAATTGGTTTAAAATACGGCTTCTAATACGTTTATTTTCGTACGTAATGTGACAGCTGTCACATAAAATCCATTTGAGCTAAGAGATGGCGCCACTTGTAGTAATCTAGCGATATTTTTGTTCTAATTGTATGTAGTTGAAAATAAAAATAACGATTGGAATGAAAAGGCCTTGGAATCTCTACTAGAGCTACCACCAAATTTTATGAGTTAAATTTTACAAAATAAGATGATAACTTACAATAGCGCGAAACATAATAAGTATAGATATGTTTTTCAAATTTGTGCATGCGTTGCTTGCCATAAATCTTCTTTAAAACAAGTTAAATGTATGAATTAAGTGTAGATAACGATGACATATTTATTAAAAAACAAAACAAAAAAAAACAGGCTTTTGAAATGAACATTACGTATTAGGATTAATGTTTTAAGAATACCGTTGGTAATAATTATCTGTCTGAGAAATAATAATCTACAATTTTTATCGAACAACGTTTTTAAATAAGTTTTTTAAATTAAATAAACTAACTATAATAATTATTTTTCTTAAATAATAATTTTCTATTAATGTAAATTTAGTTAGAAGTCGATTATACACGGCTTGCGAAATTGCATCCAATCTATAGGCTCCCCGTCGCGGTACAGAATTAAACATTTACCAGTTGAATTAATAACGACTTATTGCGTAAATCCACAAAATGATTACGTTAAAAGTTAAAATAATTGTATGTTTTTTAATAAATGATATTTTTAATAAAAACACTAGACACGTGTCACCGTTTTAATTCGAGAAGCCTTTCATTGAATGAATGTCTTGTAATTTCTATTAGGGATTGTTTTTCGAAGTTCCTTATAAAAAAAAAATGTTTAAAATAGATCGAAAACATCCAAGTTCTCATTAATTTTCTTTAATTAGCCAGTACAAGGCATCTTAACGGTCAGTGGTTATTTCATAGAAAATATAATAATATTAAACATACGTCTTTTGGCGACAGGCGATCTCAAATCTGAACAAATAGAACCTCCAAAGATGTAAAGTAATCAAAATATTGATGATGTCGAATAATGAGCCAGAGATTAAATTCGTAAAGGTTTTTAATTATAAATATTTTTGGGCGTTGTGGTTCAGAATAATACTATCCTTGATGTCTGTAAAGGGACCAAGATATTAAACGGTAACCCCAGCAGTGATCTTTGAGTATCATACCTTTGTACTACGATCGCCAGTTTGTGTTTACTGGTGGTAGAGCCTAATGTGAACCGGGTTGATATCACTATCTGGCATATTTCGACCGGAAAACGGTCATACGTTTTAGTTTTAAGGATGGGACACGCAACGCAATTGAGATATCGATATTTACGTATTGAAGAAGTCTCAAAGTGACCTCTACGGGTTCGGACTAGGCATTCGCTAACTTAAATTAAACTACAGTTAATAATCTTTGTTTTAAAATAACCAATGACTCGATTACTGAAGAGTTCTCGCGATCAAAAACGTAAAATTTGAATTTCAATTTTGATAGCGTACCTACAAGTGGAACTAGCTAATAATACTAATACTCCAATCCTTTGAGTAAAGATTCATTTAGGACGATTATTGTACTGTCATTAAAACTGTCAATACGTTCACATACAAAAACGAAGCGCGGAAACAAATGTAATAATTCAAACTAGTGGTCCCGCTGTAGTCGAAATTCGACTAATTAATTGAAATTATAAATTTGTACACTATTATGATTCTATTTTCAAAGACTTATACTTCTATAATCACAAATTTCGCCAAGACTACATTATAAAAAAATATTAATAAAGACAAACAATATTTAATCTATTCTCAATTTGACAACAGACGTCAAGAACAAAAGTTTAACAATAAATAGTATGCATGCGTGTGTGCGTCAAATACATGATATGTAGTGTGTATAATGTTTTCTTTATTGATTTAATGTATCTTTTATGCATTATTTAAAAAAAAATTAGCATTTTGCACTTCTTCTCTGTATTCTCTATATGTGTGGAAAATTTCATACTCCTCCGTCCGCGCAATTTTCGTAAAAAGGGATACAAAGTTTTTGCTTCACGTATTAATATTAATATATAGATACTCCAATCCTTCGAATAACGAATCATTTACGACGTTTATTGTACTGTCATTAAAATGTCAATACGTTCACCTACAAAAACGAAGCGGAGAAACAAATGTAATAATTCAAATTATTGATTTAATTATTACGATTTATGGCGTGGTCAGAAGCTGAGACTTCATTAGATGCGGTACAAATCCAGCGACTCGTGAGCGCGCGTCCATCGAAATCCTTCGGAAGACGACGTATGCTGATTTTAAAAAGATATAAGGCATACATGGTTATAGAACATAGGAACGTTTAGAAACGGCTGAATGCGGTTTTAATTTTTAGAAGTTGATAAAAATGCGCGTGTCGCTTCTGTTAGTCTTTGTAATGACGATCTGAGGTATTAGGTGTAGAGCCCGGTCATCGTTCTCATCGAAACCGTTGCTTGCGACGAAGGGATCGACGAATAAATAAAACCTCAGACACAGCCCACTGAGTTTCTCGCCGGATCTTCTCAGAGGGTCGCGTTTCCGATTTGGTGTTGGATTCTGCGAATCGCACGACTCTTGCTAGCGTTCGTGTTAGCAACGTCGTCAGATTCGAGTCCCGTGAGCTCACCTACTAGTTAAGGTTACTCTGAAATAGCCTCTCAAGGCTCTCAGCTTAGGTAGGAAAAAAAAAGGTGTAGAGTAGTAAATGCGCTAGTCGACTTCAAAAAGGTGAGTAGTTACTTTCGCAGGAATAAAGCCAAAGGAATAAAGCAGGAAAACATATCTCATACAAACATAAGCGTGTTCATGATATTCTAACACAGCTAAGAATCCATAAATATTGTGAAGCTTTATTATTTTGATTATGAGAGAGTTATTTGATGAAGTTTACAAGGTTTGATAATGTCGCATACCAAATATTTATATATTTTATAAGTGAACAGCGTGCTCATGTATGAACATGTTTTAGAAATTGCATAGCCTACTGCGTCTGTCAATTATATAATATAATTAAATTAAAATTGAATGCAATGGACAAAAAAGCTCCGGGTGTTGCAGAGATAGATCAACCCAGCTCAACAGCCCTTTTGGTCTTAAGTGGCTACCGGAATACAAAGATAATAAAGCCGGGACGCCTCCACCCACATTATACCTGTATATTTATGTGACGTAATTTTCAGCAACTTAAAAACTTGAAACTTGCATTAAGGACAGAAAATAACACTGTAAAATATAACCTTAGCCTTTCTACTGGATTAACGCGTAGGATTAGTTTTAGTTGCTTTAATTTTTATATCCTTAGGGTAATGGCATCATGGTTTTGTCTTCAAGTTAATGGCACTATGTGTGTCGGTGTATCCGCGGCCTCTCGGTTGCAGGGTCGGCCTGTGAGCACGCAAGCGGTCCTGTCTCGCAGCGGGTATCAAAGTCGCCGGCGTGCCTTGTTCTTACTTGTTAGCCTAACGTGAGCATCCGTCCGGTTCCCTCGTTATTTCACCTGTGTGACGAAGGCTTTTCGTTTTTTTTTTTTCACGAAGAACCTGGATGCTTTTTGAATCCGATTCGATTTGAAATAGTTTCATAAGCAATTTCGTGTATTTATCGCCTTCGTAAGGCCTCATTGTAAACACAACTTATTTTTTATTTATTGCATAGACGGTTGATTTTTTTTTCCTACCTTAGCTGATAGCCTTGAGAGGCTATTTCAGCGGAACCTTAACTAGTAGGTGAGCTCACGGGGCTCAAACCTGACGACGTTGCTAACACGAACCCTAGCAAGAGCCGTGCTTCGCAGAATCTACAACCAGATCGGAAACGCGATCCACTGAGAAGATCCGGCGAGAAACTCAGTGGGCTGTGTCTGAGGGTATAGACGGTTGAAGTACTCGACTTGCTGTTAAGTTGTTATAAGAGCTCATGAACGTCACCAATGTAAATGCCCACCACCCACTTTGAGACGTGATTCCAACTCTCAGTTTTATTGTAGATACAACGGTTGCCCCATACTTCAAACCAGAACGCATGTTTTGCGATAGAAATAGGTAGAATAGTTTTTACTTACCCGTGCCAACTCACAAGATCTGCCCAGCCCTATTACCAGTATTACGGCAATTAAAATTTTTGTGGGTTTAATAATATTTTATTAT